AGGGAAGGAATAACTAGTTCCAGGTTGATGGGATTTGGGTCTCAGCACTGTCAGGACTGGACAAGCAGCAGAACTTGAGGCTCAGCAGTGCAGTTAAGCGCATGGAGACTTTGGGCACTTTCATCTAGGGAGGAGTTTGATTACAGCTTTGGTTTTAATTTTGTGTTGTGTGTTCTTGTCACTTGTACATCCACTCAGACCTGTTTTCATCCCTGGGATTCAAGATATTTAGTAGCCTCCATCAACAGTGCTTTTGCTAGTCATGTTACAGTATGTACAAGAGTGAGAGTAAATATAGCAAGTAGTGGGAGTAAAGGGGATGTAGCGTTTGGGATCAAGTCCGAGATACTGGAAGGGATCCGATTAATTTGTTGCCTCAATATATGCTGCATGAGGTTCTTAAAGGGACATTTCCCCGACGCGCTTTTAGCAAACCACATTAAATGTTGGTTGGTTGTTACATAGCTTAAGTGCTGCAGTTTATACTAATTGAACTTGCATGTAGGCCTTGTCTGTTTTTCCAGGTTCCTTGTCCTGTGTAAACTGGAGTCATAATTACTGCCGTTGTCAGGAGGTGTCGGTTAATTTGTTCCGATGATACATTGGCATTTTGCTCAATTACAGCAACTTAGGAGAACCTGGTCAATTGTAGGTACTTATTTGGTTTTGTTCCTTCTGATTTCTTGTGTGTCAGCTGGTTCCCCCAAGCTACAAGATGAGATCTTCACTTTCAAATTAGGTTCAGGTAGTTATATCTTCCGTTTGCATCTTGGTTTAAAGCAGTCATGCTCATTTTGGTTTTGTGTCATGTAGTGAGAACTTCTGCGCTTTGGATTCATAGGTTGCAGTCTTTTAAGTCACGTAAAAATGATTAAACAATGAAGCTTTTAAACTCACTACTCTTCTCAAGTTACTTTATTTTGTTAAAAACTAATATCATTTAGCAGTCAAGTCACTTAGATTTCCTTTGTTCAGTCTCTCTAATCACCTTGGCTGTTACCTACCAGAGCTTTTTTGAAGGCATACAGTTGCTCACAGTAAAAGCTGGAAAAATAAGTTGTAGTACCTGCAAGACCTTCATCATGCACATCGTGGTGGGAGTTCCTTTCAAATGTTTCCTAAGACCTACTTTCTAATACTATTTTCAAAATAAAAATTACTGTGTGATAGCTGAAGATGGTGACTTATTTCCCTCTCTGTGTGTGCGACTTCTTGAATACGCTCCTTGATTGCCTTTTTGAAGTTCTTCGTTAAGTGACAAGCTGGATGTTATATGGGCATGGGTATTCCTTTTTGCAGTTTGTAGGCCAAGTTTATTTCTTGTATACATAAATAAAGGATAAAACTGGGACTAAGTCATCTGAAGAGGACTCGGGAAAAAAAGTTGACAAATCAGTGGAATCTTCTTATAGAGATGCAAAATCTGTAATTTAAATTTCAGAAATTTGGTAACAAAGTTGTATTTCTGTTTCTTGGGGTACCAAGAAATTAATCTGAGTAGTACATACAGACATTTTCACTAAAATTGGTCCTTTTTTATCTCAACTGCTTCAAAAAGGAGTTGGATATTGAAATGTTTTTTAGGAATAAGATGGGGCAACACCTCCTGGGAGCAGGTGGATTTCTGATAAGTACTTTGTAATTTTGAAATTTTACTGGTCTGAAAACTGAGACACAATGAAGTAACATATGTGTAACAGGTGGTCTAATCCATGTAGATGCTGTGCATAAATTAGTGGTTTAAAACTGAGCTTGTGCTGATTAATAAGGAATCTTTTTGTTACTGCTGTCTTCTGAAATCAGTCTTAGTACCGTAGCTTGAAAGTTAGCACTATGGAGAGGGGTATGAAGAATATGAACTAATTTCTAGTGGAAAGGCTGGCGTTATACAGGTTTCTTTTTCTTGAAGCTGATGACACTTTCTTTCCTCTTAGCTGAGCCAGTCACTTGGAATAATTTTGACTTTGCAACACTCTTGATCAAGTAACTGAAAAAACACTCCTTAGTGGTGATAAAAATCATTCTAGTATACTAGAATATCTATACAATTTTTTCCGTGTTCCATGAAGACTTTCCATCATAAAAGTGTAGGTAACTGTCCAATAGTTGTCTTAATTTATAGATGCTTAATACTGATGTAATACTTACATAAATGACACTTTCTGTTGTGAAGTGGAAGTGGCCTCTGGGACTGGGGAGAATCTTTGTGTGGTGCTGGTCTACGTTAAGGTGTGATATGTGGTAAGAATTTGAGGAAGCTAAAGAAAACCAGGATAAGTTTGGTAAAGCTTAATTTTCAGGGGCAGAAAATAGACTGTTATGGTACGGGGCTTTATTCTTTTCTACTGTTACGTTTTAGCCAGTATGTGTATCTTAAAGGGATAATTTAAAAATAAGACTTTGGACCATAGAAAATAAATCTACGAAGGAATATAATATTTTTCTGCAGATAACTGTTTTCTGTTTTGCATTGTTTCTTGTACTGGGATTCAGCTTCAGTATCACTGAAACTTCAGAACAGATCTGGCTTTTAACTTGTGATGAGAATAGGTACAGATAACCACTCTTGTACTGTTTTGTTGTAACTAGAGCTTGATTATCTGGGCTTTTGTAAATTTAATGCCCAAACTGGCTTTTTAATGTCATTGGCATAAGTGATTAGGCAACATATGTTCTAGAAGAAATTACAACTCAAAGTTTAGAAAGTCAGACAGTTCGGTTGGCTCACTGTACTGTACGGTACCTGACCAAAAGGCAAAATTATGGGAGCGGATTATAAACCAAGTCTTAGATTATGAAGGGACCACCCTAATTCAAATAAAGCAATCTTTGTGTCTCATGTGCTTTGGGCTCTAAACCTGTCTTTATGCAGCTTCATTTCAGTAGAAACCAGCTAAGGAACAAAAAGGTTGAGTTTTATGTTTCTCTATCTGTGTGGTGCAAGCTGTCAAACAGCAATTGGGAATGAAGAAAATCTCCATTTTGAGGCCATCTGTGTAGGTTCTTTTGTCTGAACCTGACAAGAGGTCATGGCAGATGGTGGGGTCACAAAGTCTGGCTTCTCGAGCTTGACAAAATGTTCATAAAGCTGGAAGAATACCAACTGTTCGTACTGGCTGAAGAGCATTGTGGCAAAGGACTGTAATAGTGTATGGACAATACCTTCTGGATCACTAAGCTTGACAGCAAATAACTTGTCAAAGATGAAACTAGTTTGCTTATCCATAAACGGGTTAAAACTGCTTAGCAAATGTGTTCTTAACTATGTTTTATTTGAGTAAATGACTTGTAAAGCCTCTTAAAGCAAGAGAGGGAGGTCAAACTGCATCGCGAATTTTGGCCAGAGGTCCAGATGATGTATTTGGAGAGTTTGTGTGGAAGGAGGAGGGAAGTGGAAAAAGAAGAGGGACAGAGATCGTAATTTTCAGAGGCAATGCAAGGATTCACTATTTGCTCTTTGCTGTGACCACTGTAGCTTTATGGCTTTTCTGTGGCTCTTCTTCAGGTTTCGGGTTTGGTAGCCCCTTTCCCTAGGGTGTGAATAGATACCTCTCTGTAGTGTCCTCTCTGAAGGCAGAGAAAAATGCTTCTTATTTTCTTGGATGTTTTGTTGTGAAACTAAAACTTGCAAGTTTTCATGGGAGAATGTCTTAGTAGACAGAATTGTGTGGCGTTCACATGCTGGAGTAACTGCTTAATTATGGCTGCAATAAATTGAGACACTAAGGAAGATAAATACAACTCATTCAACAGGAAATGGAGAACACCTCTAAGTTGAATAAAATGTTTTTCCACTAACTCTAATAATAGTTTAATTGGTACGATGTCTGAATAAACCAAGAAATCTATAGAAACATCCTAGAATTTTAAATTCTTCTGGATTGTCCAAAACCACTAATGCAGTGATGGTAGAGTTCCCCATTAGCCACGCACACTATTGAAACAATTTTTGGCACTTTTCTAGAAGAGAGGTGAAGACACTAGCTGTTCTCAAACTTTGCATAGGTTAAAATACAGAGGAGATAGCATGAATTGCACCTTGCTTTTGTAGCTGGTGAGTTCTACTGTAAATGGTTGTGACTCATATTTGGTAACTAGTTTAGGCATCTTCCAAAAGATTTTGCTGAATTGATTCCACGCTTGAAAGTGTGAACAGTTCTCCCTCTCTTACACATCCAAGTGCAATTCAGATGTCTTTTGTAGTCCATTTTTTAACAGCAAGTAGTACTTATAAAGTACTTTCGACATACTTAAACACTTTGTCAAGTTAATTCTATCTTTAAAATGGTTTGTGCTGCCAGCATTGATTTGTAACTTGTTTTCTTCTGTTTTCTGTAAGACTTCTGGAAGCTTTGATTTAAAAAAGAAGTCACTTCAAGTATTTTTCAGTATACCAAAATGTTTGTCTTTTCCTGGAATTCTAATACTGTAATTCTAATTACATAGGGTTAATAAAAAAGCCTGAAAATATTAAAAAGATGAGTTTGAACTGGAATGTTTTTTCTTGGATGTTGATAAAATACTTAATGTTTGCTACATATATACATTTCATAGTACTTCCTACTTTTTATCAAGATCTTTGGATGTCTGCAGTGATGGAATTAGAAGCTTTCTCTATTGTTGGAGGCTAAAGACACGATGGAGAGAATTAATTCACTTCCAGTTTTTAGAGTCGATCTGCATTAGATGCAAATGATTGCATGGTTTTAATTACAAGACTTTAGTAATGGTATGACATGCTTTGCTAGCACATTAATATAGTTAGGCCTCTATGTAAGTTGGGCCTTTATAGATAAGATTCCATCTCTGCCAATTCCAAGCAATGTACATTTCTAGTATCCATGCAGAACCTGACTATCACGGTGATTTGATTTTATCAAAAAGTTAAAAAAAAAAAAAATCTGTCCTCTAGAGGTGCAGGGTTTCAGCTAGAGAGGTAACTGAAAATATATTTTAACTAAGATATTTTATTAACTTTCTTACAGGATGTTCATTTTAAAGATTCTGTGAAGATGAAAAGGGATATCTTATGGTTTTACGGAATATAAAGCAATATTGTCTGTCATGACGGCAAAAAATGTGAGTATAATTCTACAACATGTATTACTTTTTATATTGGCATGCTGCCAGTCACTTCTGGCTTTCAAATTCAAAAATCTTGTCCGATTTTTGTATACCACAAAAGTGTACCCCATCATCTTCTGCAGTATTTAGAAGCTCTTTAAGGATGTGGAGTTTACTCAGCTATAGGTCAGGTTGATAACGGGGGCAATGTTTTATGCTATTTCCTTATTAATCCTTACAGGTCCCTTCCAACTTGAGATATTCTATGATTCCTCTAACATTGCTCCAAACTTACCAGAGAGCTTCTCATTTTGTTGAAGCATCTCACCTTTGCACCAGAGTAAAATCCTTCTACTGAGTCCGAATCTCAAAACTCAAGAAAAAACAGAAAGAGGGCATATTTCTTTACTAATGTCGGTACGCTCTTGGTTTCTAGAAGACAGGGGGCCTTCCTGTTTCTTCGTCTGCCGCATTAACAAGCCTGTAGTGTGGTGTCTAGAGGCCCTATATTTGACTCCCCTATCCTGAGTTCTGAGGAAGCCTATGAAATGTCTAACATCCTGACCTTAATTTTCTGCCTAATCAGCTGTGCTTCCTGAGGTACACAATTTGTATAGAGAACAGTTCTGATTAAGCTTGGTGGTCAGTGAGTTGAGTATGACTTTGGGCCCTGGGCAATTTACCTGTTGGCTGCCTTTGATAGGGCATCCTGCAGTCTAATTAAATCTGAACAGGTTTAGGAACCAACATGACTAAAGAAGTACCCCACAATAACAGTGCAGGTAACCCTAGGATGGCTCTCTGTTCAGTAACTGCAAAAGCTTTTGTGCACATTTGGTTAGATTGATGCCGAGGGCATAGCTTGGTTAAATTAATTCTCAAGTCTCAGAAATTTCTTTTCTGTTGGCTGTATTAATAATTTCATTTGGTGTGTAGTTCCAGGTAAGGCTTTCAGATGTCTTATGTTTGACTGTTTGATTCAAGCTGACCAAACCAGAAAATAAATTGATGTGTGTATGTAAAACCCTTTGACTTACTTATTTCATAGGCCATATTCAAGTGTAGTATAAATAGGTAATTCTACTGATGGATTTGTGCAGCTGTTCCACATACAAATCATTTGTGGTTTTGACCTTTTGTTCAATGCAGTCAAAGGATAAATACCAATGCCAATAAAATCCATGGAGTGTTGTGTGACAGAGTCATAGAGTGACATAGGTTGGAAGGGATCTCAGGAGGCCATCTACTCTGGTGCTTTGCGTAAAGCTCTTTGACACTTGAATTCAGAACCCTGTTGCTTGGTGCTGTGTTCAGGGCCGCTCAGGGCTTTGGGTTTTGAAAACCTCCGAGGACGGACATATGACACTCAGTCTGGGCAACCTACTCTTGTGCTGAATATAGAAATATGTTTTTGTTGTTGTTTACTTTAATGCAAGGCTATAGTTATTTTATAGAATAAATATTCTATTGGTATGTATACTTTGAAATTTTGCATCTTAAACTATGCAAACCTAGTTATTTAGCTACTGTTTATGGGTTTATTTTTAAAAAAACAGTTACTGTGGTGCAGATGAAAGTAGAACTCAGTTTTCATGTTTGTTAAGTATACCTGTTCAAAGGATTTGCAAAATAAATAACAGCATAAAACCAAGGGTGGCAATATGCTTTCTGTCCTTATTTGTAGCACTTCTTCAGGATTTCCCAACCTTAGTTACTCAGAACTGCACACTCAGGCCAATAGTGTCAGCCCTAGCATTTTCTATTGCTGTTAGAAGGCCCAAGAATGCTTCTGAATTTGCAGAGTTCCAGGGTTTAGCATGTCGATGGGTTTCTGCAGCCTGAAACCTGTTTCAAATGTAAGGTTAGTGTTTGTCTGTTGTACTGTCTGAAATATTTTAATGATCTGCAGAGTGAGTTGAGGGAGAGAGCTTCTCTGCAGAAGTATTTCCATCTTCTTTTCCTTTCTGTTGAAGCATCAAGGAAAGGGAACTTTAAAGTACTGGAATTTGGATGTCTTCTGGGAAACTCTTAAAGGGCACGTATCTTCCATCAAACATGTACACGCCTCCATGTTCTGAAATCACTACCCCTCAACTGGGACACAGCAGTCTAGGGATGTTTGTGCTCCTAATGCATTGGAAGAACAAAGTGCAGTGAGCTTAGGCTAAAATGTCTTTGCATCTCACATGCATAAGCTGTGTTGAGCAACCTGGTCTCCAAGGAAGCTTGCGCTTCAAGCACATGGCAAAATGTTTCCATAGATTGAATGTGTATGTAAGATGAATAACGTTCCCCATCACTGTTTTCCTTGCTAACTTTTTGAGTACGTGATGGGAGAATTATCAAGACTGGGCTCACTGCTCATTTTCCCTAAATGCAGGACACTTTCTAGTATCTTGCTTGTGGAACATTGCTTATGGGTAATTTGACCTTCCTTAGAAAACAAATGGAACCAAAACAGCTATGAATAATAAAATGTTGAATAGAAGTTAGGGATTCTCTTGGAGATGAGATGTTTATGTGCTTACCGTACACACTGTACCCAGATGTAATTTAAATCACCCTATCATAATGAGTTATTTGAGTCTGTGCTTATATCACAAAATGCATTCTTCTTGCCTGTTTTGTACTTCCATTCCCATCTGTCCTTCAGGTAAGAAGGCACCAAAACGGTATTGAGAAATGGGGAAAAAATGAGCAAATACAGTAAACTTATTTTTAGGACAAAATAAATAATATGAATCAAGCAGATTATTTGAATAAGACTATTAGTTTTGATTGTCTGATCTGAATTTATATGCATGTGCTTGTAAAGTTATTTGTTGCTGCTTCTCAGAAGGTGGTTGTCTTGTTATAGATGAGGTCAGTTAAATGGCTATAATAGTTCTCCTTTCACATCAGTGTGGAAGAACTGCTGAAGTTGGTCAAGAGGGCCTTAAACAAGTCTTAACACCTGTCTTACACAGGAAACTCTTCAAAAACAATGTAAAGGACACTAGCTGTTCTGCACTGATAGTCCATGCAGGTTTCTTCTAGTTTATGATGAGAGAGCACTTTTTAGGTCCTACCTGAGCCGTTTCTGTAAGTGATATTACTACAGTATGTCTACAAATGAGTCTGTTGGGGCTTACAGATATAAGAAAAACAGCCAGTTAATGGATTCCCTACCCATTTACAGCTTCTACATGCTATAATCTCGATTAAATCTAGGGCAGAGAGAACAAAAACTTTTCAGGTTAATGGGAAAGTTAATTTCTGTAAGGAAAGGGAAGGATTGCAGGCGGAGACTTGCTACCTGAACAGTATGTCAAGCAGCAGAGAAGGTTGATAAGCTACAAGAGAAGCTCGTGACAGTTTGCCCCATCCAAGACTGTGGTTGTGATTCTTTTTTTCTTTCCCCTCGCCCCATTTGGAAACATCTTAGTCACCTACTAGGAAAGGAGAAAAAAACTTGATGAAAATAATTAATAGGATGCAAAGGCCTGCCAAGTGCTTGCTTCATCTTACTTCATAGCTGGATTCATCTTGCTGCAGATGGACAGAAGCAGGAATCCAGCTCCTGCCATACCCAGTAATCCAGACACTCTGGAGCAGTGTTATAAAGCAGAACTATCACGCGAGCGGTACAAAAAGTAATAAATGATACCTATGTAAGCTTTGGATTGTTTGCTGGTTTCAGCTTAGGGGTGATTAAATGGCAAGATTCCCAAAAGCAGTGGGTGGTACAGTCTCCAGATAACAACATGGCCTGGGACCTCTCTGACATCGAAATGGAAGACTGTAAGGTTCTCGTTCTGCAGCAGTATTGTAATATTGCATCACACTTTGCTTCTTCTGAGGGCTTAGTTATGATAATTCTTGTGTAAGAGAAACAAATTCCTTTAGGTCTGCCACACTTCACGTTTTAAGTTCTTGTGAAATTCAAGTTTGTTTTCAAGCTCTTCTAAACTTAGATACAAAGATTATAAAATTGAGAGAAGTGCTCCTGTTCATTGGATGCTCTTTATAAATGTGTTACGAGGACCATCATCATGAAAATACGTGTTTCTAGGCAAACAAAAATTCTGCTGAAATTTGTATATTTGGATCACTGAAGAACAAGATACGCAAAAAAAAGAACTCAAGTATTTTGTTACATTTCCTTAAATATTGAATCAGTTAAATAATCTAAATCTTTCAGAGAATAAAATGTAAATGTTTGAATTTTCATAACAGCTGGAGAGCCATCTTGGGCTGACAGTGCACATGTATATCATCTTCAGTGTTTAATTGAGGCACCGATATGAATCAGTAGGGAAATGTACAGTTGTAAATCTAGAGCTGAAGGTGCAATTGTGAACAAATTGCAGTGCTGTCTTTGAAGATGTTCATGGGAATCGTAATTCTTGTCCTTTCTCTTGGAACGACTTAAGGCCCTTATATCTAACACTTGATATTTATCCCTGTGGCTCCCCTGTTCCTTCTGTGAATTAAAATTTTCTCCTATTTGTGTTCTTCTATTCCTTGCAGCAGAGGCAGGGGTCCTAGGGAGAAGCTGATACTGTTATTTATTGTGCAAAGGCAGCAGTAGCATGATCCAAGAGCGCTGGCTCTTCATCTTGGCTTTGCAGTCGTAATGCCCTTTCAATGCTGTATGCTATGCAATTTACTAACCTTTCCAACCTCTATTTTAAAGATCTCCTCAAGAATACATTTTCAGTGTAAGGAATCACAATGACCTCTTACCACACGAGCATTCCTTGCCTCCCAAGCACCCGGGGGGAAAAATACTAGAATGCTGCCGTTTTCCATATGGACCTGCTACCAAAACGTGATAGGAGACGTTTTGCATTTGTTTTCATGTCTTCCTCCTCTTTCCCCTGCTCAAATCCAGGCGTTCCCGTTCACGTCCTCCCCAGCCCTGCTGCATTGCCTCTGCACCGCTGCCACCTGGTGGGAGACAAAGGGGAAAACGGAGAGGAAAAAAATGAGACAGGCTTGCTCTGTTTCAAAAGCAACTTCTGGTGATACCATAGTCTGCAACAGCCAAAGCACTTGGTTGCCCGTTGGAAATAGTACATGACCGTCTAGTTGGGTGTGACAGGAAAGAGCAAGTCTGGTATAGAAAACGTTTGAGATAGAGATGCTCAATATAGTTCATCAATTTAAGGGCTTGTTTACAGAAGCACGTAACTTAGCTCATTTAGGCAGTATTTTACCGTCAGGGTAGTGCAGCAACAGTTCATGTTCGTATGTTGCTCCTGATGGTGAAAAAACCTTAGTAGAAGTAGTTTCAAAAGAGTCTGTCACAATGCTGTGTGCAGATTTTCCCCTTCAAAAATTACTTGCCGAATACAAGTTCTCTAGTGGAACTGAGTGATTGAATGCTTGTTGTAGGTATTTTTTGTTCTTGTGTAGTTTATTTTAGTGTCACATTACTCCTGTTTAATTTGCCTGCAATTAAATGATTCTCTCATTTGATATGATTAAAATTCTAGAGCAGCCCTAGTATATGTTCCATTATTACTACATACATCTGTAAAATAAAGCAAATATTCGATCCTTGATTGTATGATTGGTTTTTCTTAACTTGGATACCTGAACCCTTTGTCCCAATTATTTACAGAAGTACTCAAATCTTACAATATTTTAAAAAGAGATTTTGTAGTATTTAGTTTAATTGCCCACTGCTCCAATGGAGCTCAATCCCTCAGTGCTTATCACTGTTTCCGTCTTGCAAACAAAACAAAATGCTTTGTTGAAGAGAGGTTACTAAGGTGGTGCAAGCATAAGGCTCTGACACTGCAGAATGCCTTACCATTACTTGCTTGTTGCTGGGCCCATCCATTGTTAGCTGGGATCTGAGGGACTTTCCATCTCTTCCCTCCCTCATCCAGGAACAATGATCTTGCATTTTGCTATACAAACTCCACCTTTCTATGCTTTGTGTACGTGCCAAAATCTGAGATGCACCATTCTGTATATGGTTTAAGTTCTCCATGTCTCTGGTAATTTACCCTCAGGGTAACTCAATTTATCTCTGAAGACTAGGGAATGTATTTATAATGCATCAATAGTCACATCTCCTCAGACCTGTAGACCGTGCAGCTTAGTACTGAGAATACTGGACACTGGGCAGATTTCTGCTGTGTTATTGGTGGCAGCTGCTCTGTTTGACTTGGAGGGGACAGCGACTTACACCACAATAGCCTGAACGTACTGCCTGGGTCATGTATAGTACAGTTATCAGAATATTTAGGGGTTTTTTTTAGGTAAGAACTTAGTTAAAATTAGAGTTTATCTTCATATATACACAGTAAATGTCTTGGATCCTTTGCTTTGAATCTCATGCTCTTGTTAGACCCTACTATCCATAGGATTATGTTTCAGAAATGCAGAGCAGATTACTTTCATAATACTGTTAGTTGCATACTAGAAAACATAGAAAGGTTTATCATATTTTAAGACTTCAAAAATGTTTTGTTCAGGTTGGTGTGACTTCCACAAATGGAGACTTGAAAGGATTTATAGATCAGAACCAGAGTCCAACAAAAGGTAAGAGAATTCTATTTGTATACATAGAAAAGAAGCATACATTAAGACTTATTTCTCTCTTATTTTTACTAAATTAGTATTATTGCTGATTTCACTGCATATGGTTGGTTCAGTTTTGGGAGACTCAGAGTTTAAATGTTCAAAATGTATTTCATACATCCACACTGGTTTTACTACTGACATGCAAGTGTCAGTAACAAAGATTGGAAGATCTTCACGTTTTCAGAGGGGAAAGGAGAGTGTAGTAAAAATAATTAGAGGATAAAATAAGCCCTTTTTTTTCTTTACTTGATGGTGAATAATGTGCTGAATTTCCCGATTTCTACCCCACCCTTAAAGTTCCCAGACTCTGTTGTAGTCCAAATGGGAAAGAAGGTTAAGCATGACTTCACGGTCAGTGATATCTTGTGGTACTTTTATAAGCATTCTGGACAATTTACAATAATTATATTTTGAAAATTAACTCTATCCCAGCCGAAACCAGGACATCATCTTAGCATTTCTAGATTAATCACTTTTGACTCTAAAACAGTGTGTTGGCTGTCAGAACAGCTACAGGATTCCAGTAAAATAAAACTGCAACCCCATATCAATGTTAGAAAACTTGAGGATTTACAATTCAGGAAACACTTCCATCAACCTTTCTAAGTAAATCCTGAGTTGTTGTTATCCACTGCAATAAACAAATGCATGTACTAGCTGGAAGAATGATTTTTGGCTCGTCGCAACAGTTTAGGTGCATTAGACTTCAGAGTCTGAAAAAATGGAAGAGTCTAAACAGAATATGTCTAGAGCTACAATATCTTCTGAGTTTTCTAACTATGCAGAACACCACAGACTGGCTTTAGGCCTTTGAGAATTCATTTATTGCACACTGGTGAGATAATTGCCCGTTGTGTTTCATTATTTTGTGATTATTGTGTCGTGATACTAGGGAAAAAGACTAAAATAAGTGCAACATTTTCAAACAATTTCTGTGAGACAAGCAATTGATTTGTTCAGAGAATAACTGAATTGAATAACTTTATAAAGTATAGGACATTACTGTTAGTAGTAATATCTCAGTGATCCTTATCCCAGTCTTTATTAGATTTTGCTTCTGGGATGATGGATGTATTATTTACCTCCATTCTTCTATATTTTCTAAAATGTTATGCTCTAATGATTTTTTTTTTTTAACCTTGAGGTAAAAATCACTGACATCTCTATTGAGATATAACATCTTGTTCACGCTGGCTTATTCTTCTTGGAGAATCAAATATTCAATAAAAGCTGGAAAAACTTGCATGCCAGTATCTAAGCTGTCTCTTACTTTCAATCTGAAGTATCCTTTACTTCTTCTGGCATGTCCACTGTTGAACTCTGGAAATTAGGGAGCGGGGAAGAAACCAAACAGGCATTCAGATCCAGTATCTCTTAACAGGGCTTTGTGAACTTCCTAATGAATACAGTTTTTATTGTTTTATCCATTATTTAAGTTAACTCATTTGCTATAGTAAAAATAAAGGCACTTTATTGCTACATATCTGGGCCTGTTCATGATGTGCCTTCGCAGTGTTCTTAGACCGAAGCATGATGGATTTATGATACGTTGAAGAGCAAGAGAGGCTATTGGCTCAAATAAGGATCTTGAAAGCATCAGATTTCAAGTGCTAGAAACTTTTGTTTAGAAAAGTTGCATTTCATTTTTTTTCTTTCCAGAAAGATAATTATTTGTGGTGTGTGTTTATTATTTGCCTTTAGCACAAACATACTAATTTAGTACCAATATTGCATTAAAGGAACACTTCAGATTCCAGTGCTGAGCCACGAGCACATAGAAAATTCCTTGCAAATTTTGTCTTCCTTTTTTTTAATGAACTCTGCTCTTTTATTATTCTATGAAATCTATTGTGTAATCCTGGTTTTACTGGGTTTAATTTTGAAAAAAGCTGGACTGTTCTCGGCAAACCCACTGCTCTGCCACTTTGCCCAGTAACAGCAGACTGCAGCCTGGATCTTTGAGGACGCTGTTTCAAACTGCAGGAGAATGTCTTGAAACACTTACCAAATCAGCTGTTGCTCTTTACTGGTAGCTGCAGTCTCATTCTGTAGCATTAGCACCGCTAGATAGAGTTATGTAGGGGAAATTGTCTGGCTTTTTCACACTAAAAATACATCATCAAAATAGCTAATCACTTGACCCTTGCGCTAAAAAATTACTTTCTCTGCTTTTCTTCCATTCGCAGGCTTAACTTTCAAAATCTCTTTCTTCCCCAAGTTTTTCCCCTGAGCCATCTGAAGCAGTTACTCTGCTGCTGCTGTTCCAGTGTGTGTTTGATCAGGCTTCATTTATCTTTCCCACCATGACCTGTAGTGTCCATGCACAACCTCTGGATATTTTCCAGGTTTATTTTGCTACCGGAGAAGTTAATGCTCACAGACTGCTTAGGTATTGCAATCTAATCTGTAAGTCTTAAAGTACTGCTGTGCCACTTCTGCTGATCTTTAAATCTGAATTACTGTTCCTAAATAGGTTTGACAGGTTGTTTGGTTTATCTGGGGTCTGAATTTTCTTATTACTCGCTTGTTTCCTGTGCTTGTTAGTGAATACTGTGGTCTTCTTGCTGTAGCTTTTTTTGATTCAGGCCTTTTAGAATACTTTCAGTATTTTTTTATTCCTTGTATAGATGATGTCTGAGAAAAAGCATTTCTAGTACCTGCTGTATCTAAATGCAATACAGATTTACTAAGGAATTTGATGTTTTAAATGTGATGATTGCAGAATCAAAGCACATACATCCAAATTTGTAATCCTCATGAAAAGACTTACTGCCTAACTCTGAAGGGAACTAGATTTTTCTTTCTAGGTGTGCCTAGAAGAAATACCACAGCGATCAGCAGAGCATTAACTCAGAATGTTGTTCACTTTGTTTCGTGAACAGTTCCCATTCAACAGACAGTTTACTTTCCTACATTTGTTGCCTTTAACTCATAGGCAACAGGCTCTTTTGGCTAAAGGGTCTCCATCTGGAGCTTGTTTCCTCTGCTTGAAATGAATACTCATTGGATCTGAGAGGGAATGCCACATGCGGATGGCTCTTGACTAACGGCCAGGGTACTCGCCTAACGCCAGGGACCACTTCTTGCAAGGACAGTCATTGGGTAAATCATTTTAAGGAGTCCACGCAGCACAGTCTGGATATCTCCCTTCTGAAAGTCGTTTTCACTCACACTTTCACTCAGTCTTTGACGTAGTAGATTCTTATTGTTATGGTCAAAATTGTTCAGCTATGGCAAGCTGGGCTGACTGCTTCATTTCCTTATCTGGAAGTACCTGCCAGACTAGTGATTAAAATTATTCCTGTAGGAGACCTGTCTTTTAATTGTCCCAGACAGAAGAAATTGTCCCTGGTTCTCATTCTTCAGTGAATGAGTACTCTTGGGTTACTGAATGCACAAGGGATGCTTCCCCTCATGTGTTGGCGGGCAGAGGTGGTTGTTGCTGTTCTTAGCCTCGGGAATAGGTCTGTACATACGTCTTAGGTATTCTGCTAGTGTTTTATCATGGGTTGTGCCTGTTGGGAGAAACTGCTGGTATGCTCCATGCTAACAAAACTGACACACTCCTGGGTGTAGGCAGAACTTTGGTGCCTAATAAAGTTAATGGACAACAACCAAGGTACTCCCTTCTTTAGGCAAAATCCTGGTTTAAGTGGCAAGATGTCTTTGTGGAGTTAGCTCATTGTGTTAAAATTGTTAAGTATTATAGTTCAAGTTAGGTCTTAAACAGGTATAATTAGGTTTATGAATGAGTTGGATAGTGACGGTTCAGTTGTGGTTTTGGGGTGATTGTTTCGCGCTGTGAAGGAATTAAATCAGACATACTGTAGAGTTCATGTTGAAAAGCTGCATGCGTAACCAAGAGAATTTAAAATTTAATCTGTTTGGGAGACATTCCCCGTCAATAAGTTCAACACTTCCAGTTTTGTAATCCTCTTCACATACATCATAAAAATGGAAAATCAAATCTTTTCCCACTGATTCCAAGCAGAGGGCATATCTGTATTACCGCTTGGTCGCTCGTCCCCTAAAGCCACCTCGCCTGCCCTCCGTGCATCCACATGGACGTCGGCGGCTTTGAGGGCTCCATTCTAGTTTAAGGCGTAGTCCCAAGGCTTCCTGAGCACTGGAGTTGCTTAGGCATGAAGCCCTGTAAGAAAATCAAGGTTTGCAATCAGATACTACTTGCAAAATCGTTTTAGTATGGTCCAGTGAGATGCGGTGCCATTAGGCGAGCGCTCCAATGCAACACACCTGAGAAGAGCTGAGTTGTTACCTCCGGCAGGGACAGTAAAGGGGCAGCGTGTCCTGAAGATTCCTGTGAACGAAACGAGATACGCGGAGAAAACTCCAAATTTGAAAGCGGCTGCAGATTTAAAAGATTTCTGCCTGGCCCGCGCGGTTCTGCAGAACAAGCTGCGGTGTGGTGGCCTGGGGCAGAGGGGCCGTTGCTGCCCACCCTGCTTGGCCGCCCACCGAGGGGGGGGGGGGGGGACG